GCTTGGGTTGCGATCCTATCAAGCGGACAATTGATGCTTCAGATGTTTGGTGGACTGAGAAGTTGGAGGTAATAATTAAACCTCTAAATAAGAAGTTGGAGGTAATAATTAATCTATTTTAACTAATATACTGTCCCGTACGCTGCAGCCAGTGTCAGCAGCCAAAAAATTCAAGGTAAGTGACATTGACCCGGACCTGAAAGAGAAGTTGGACCACATATTTAGCGGAGTTGTTGCAACTGGGATGCATGCGTTCACCCCAAGTGAGCACGGGATTGCAAGCATACCAGATGACTTGGAGGCCGAGCAGGTAGGTGAGTCAGGCGAAAGACTTAGCCTAAACCAGAGGGAGATGGAGTCCACTTGTCAGTCAAAGCGGCCTAGAGTGGAGAAATGGAAAAAGGAAGGAGCTGCTTCCATCATAAGCTCAGTAAATAAGCTGATAAAAGTATGCAAAGCTCAACCTAGTCCTTCAAATGACAGCACCATAGACGATTTTCTTCAAGTTCTAGATCCATATCCTGAAGCGCCATTCTATCTGAACTCCTTGAAATTACTCGAGGACCCGACCCGCAGATAGATATTCATGAAGATGCCCCCCAAATTTCGTATCCAATATTTATTTTTTTATGGGCAATTGATTATGTGGTGTTATTATTTGTTGGTTGGTTTTTTTTCATTCTTTTAAAGAAATATTTGATTTGGATGTTCTCTCTTTCTTGCACGAAAAATCAATATGTTGCTCTGTAATTATTTCTGTTTCATAATAATTAATCTTTAATTTTTAGGTGTTCTTTTAAATGTTGTTTGATTCGTTCTTATTACATGTACAGAACAATTTTCTAGGATTAGATAGGTAGTGACTGCACCGTATAAAAATAATTACAGCGACTATGATTATCCTGTACGAATACAACTCCTTCGTCGATCAAACTTCATGCTTGATATCGATCTATATTGGTAATAAATGGGTCGGTGAGCTATCACAAGGACACCCCACACGGTTCAGTAACATGTTTCGTATGACAAAACTCATTTTTAGATCTGCTCGGTGAATTACATAGCAATTATGAACTCCAGGGCTCCCCAAGAATGACAACAAGAAATATTAGCAATAACCCTCTACATTTTATCACAGAATGAATCAATGAGAGGAACAATGAAGCGATTTCGGCATTCATCGGAGACAATCAGTTTTTGAAAGCACTTGTCAGTTTTTCGACAAACATAATTAAGCCAAAGAATCCAACATTCGAGACGACTCTAACAAATATTGCAAATGATCTGTGGTATATGTCATTTTTTAAGGTAATATTTTTTAAAACATTACATTTAGACGTCAAAATGATTTGCATGGTAATCACAGTTTTAACTAATCTAACATAACTGTATTGAAGCAATTGACAGACCCCCCGTGGATGCACGAGTATCCAGTACTGAGAAGGTCGCATACATTAGATGTGTGAATTGCCCACACAAAATGTGATGGTTGCTTGTGACTTCAACATATGTTTTATTTTTGTGATGGTTGTTTGAGAGGCAGCACACACGATAGTCGTATTTTTGTTTTTGCGATAAGAAATTGAAGACACGGTTTCCCGCACCCACCTCCTGGTTCGTAAATATATCAACCACGTTCGGTTTTTTTAATTTATTACTAATCAAGGTATTTGGATAGGTAAATATTACTTGATTGATGTTGGATACCCTTTACAGAGAGGGTATCTGAAGTCATATCCAGATACGAAGTATCACATTCATAATTTCGAAAGATACAGCATTGTTGCTCGTGGCAGGAAGGAAAAGTTTAACAAAATGCACTACTTACGCAGCGTAATTGAAATAATGTTTGGAGCGTGGAAGAAGAAATATGTCATATTACATGATATATCGACTTACCCATTTCCAAAACAAGCACAGAATGTAGTAGCCATGATGACGCTCCACAACTACATTCGATTGCATTATTTTGGGTCGGATGTAGACTTCACCCTGGCGATTGATGATAACATGCAGGTCCCACCGAAAGCATTTGAATTTCACGTGGGACAATCTATACCACAGCCAGAAATGGAATCACAGGAAGCTTCCACTCAGGATGGCGAAGGTGTCGCGAAAATGACTGAATTGAGTGAGCGGATAACGGACGTCATTGTTCGATATTGACTGGACATCTCTTGTTTATTTTAAAAACTGTATGTTTATTTAATGTCATTTATATTATGGGGAAATTTTTGGTTTTGCAATTTTCACGTGTTTGACATTGTTTTTTCCCATTCGAGCTTTACTTGGTTTTTGTTTTTGGGAGCTTGTGAGATCCATGGTGAGACTTTTGACCTTGTGGCTTCTTCTGGATAGCCTATTGGTCGTTGTTGGTTAGTATTACATGTGAAATCCTAATGAAGACAACCAAGTTCTTTTCTTCTTTTCCATGCATCAGTTTATGAGGTTCTTCATGATGGCTTTTTTTTGTGATATACACACGTAACACACAAGAGGTTGGTTTCATATGGGTTAAAGGCAAACAAGAACTCCTTTTTTACAAGGTCTACTGTTTTTTTTGTAGTGATTGATTTGTTGGTTGGTGTAGTGAGTTCTTTAAGCCCTCACGTCTACTTATTTTTTTTATCAATTTATGTTTGTTTATTCAATACAGTTTCTATTTATTTCCATTCACTTGTATATTTTTTTTCGAATTTCATCTTCTGTTACGACTAATGGGTTTTCTTTTGAATCTTTGAAGGAGATTTCAGGGAACTCCCGAGGAGTGTTTTGTCACTGTGGACTACAAACTTCGCTACTGACATCACGTCGAACACATAGCTACGGGAGAAAGTTCAACAGGTGTCTGCAGTGGGCAAACAGTCTAAAAAAGTGTGATTTCTTCCAGTGAGCAGAAAGTTTAACAGATTTCACTGCCGATAATGATCGGGGTTAGATGGTATCCCTGGAGGACGACGTAGCTTGTGACATACGCTGTCTGGATTTTAAAATTAATATTACCATTTTTTTAATTGAAATTTTAATAATTTTTTTTATTTTTTTAGTACACTTGACACTCACTGTTATCTGATGTGTGTATTTTATCTTTTCTACTATTCTAAAGTTGTTTTTTGTTTCTCAAGTATCAAATGTATCACTATAACAGTTCTGTTGCAAACAACGCTATTGCACAGATGCAGAATTGTCATTTATCCTGAAATAACTGCAAATCCGTTATTTTCCAAATACACAAAACAAACAGTCAATCAGCTTATCAAAATTAGCTGCTGACCAGCAATTTATCTGTATCAGCTGCTTATCAACAGATTATTAATAAGCCACAACTGCCCCGAACAGAGCCTTAAAATGCATGAATAGGATTACACGAGAATGATATGATTATTGACATGAACCTCGTGCATTTTATTTATTGCTACAATGTATTAAATTCTTTAATAGATTCTTATGATCTGCTTGGTTTTATGCTCATCATATCATACATATTTGCTTTGGTGGTTTTAGGAAATGTAAATTAGAGTATATATATTGGGAGACAAGACTCTAATTTTTGGCTAAGCACTAAGATATAATGACTATGTTTATGATTATCAATTTTTCTTTTCATATAGCAAATAATATATGCAGGAAGCCATTTAGATTATGGTGTAGTTATAGAAGTTACTCTCTTGGAAGTAATAATGATGATGATGTTAAATTTCTCTCTTTTTATCTTGATCAAATATAAGCAAGATGTAAATAGTTGTGATAAAATGAGTAGAGTGCTAAATAAATGATGATAATCAATTGTTTTAGATTGCAAACAATGCAACTGTATAAACGAAATCTTTCTCAAATTTGTTATACATACTTCATATTGGCATAATAGCTCTATGTTCCAGGTTTATGTATTTTATTTGATCTTAGTTTTTTAGCACTTAGTTATAATCTAATATGAATCAATGACATATTGAGTAAATGAATTGGGTTCTCCCCTACTTAAGATGCACTACAAATTAGGGGTAGAATTGAATTAGGGCATGCCTTCTGTTTTGATTTAGAGTAATATGCTATAATGAATAATATCTGCAATGTTTTCTTCAGAAATATATACCTTATTGGACCCTCATACCAAACCAAGCATATCCAAGAACCTGTAGCTTAACAAGATATGCATTCACGACAACGAAAATGACTTACCAAGATGTATATTTTTTGAATTTTTAAATTTGAAAATTTAAAAGTATGTGATTACAAAGAAAGGTCTGAGGCATGTAAACTCCATTAATTACTTCTGAATAAAATTCTAGTTGAGTTTATTATCCATTCTAATTTTAAGAGTCAACTCCTTGAGCAAGTGAAAAACTTGATGATCTTCGAGAAGTTATTTCCTTGTATAAACGTGAGCTTTGATTCTACTTCCTTCAGTGATTTTGGATCAAGATAACAAAAAATATCTTGTTGTCAGTCATACCATGCAAAAGCTACAATTCCCGCGCAATTTGAACATTTTTACACTGCAACATATCACATGAACTTACAGAAACTTAATCCTTAAAAGACACTCATGCCCCAAAATCAATTCAGAGTTCAACTGTATAATCTATTCCATAGCTCATAACTATTATTAAATAACAAATTGATGGCAATCAGCTTCTAGAGAAAAGAACTATAAACAATTTTAGAATTTCAAAATTTACATAATTACCACTCGATTCTTATGTATTTACGTATTTAACGCCTAAACTTAAATTTTTGCATAGATAACACCTTACCGACATACGAAAAGGTGTATTTGACCTTTAAAAAGTTGAAATGGTGATATTTTCTTAACGTGATATGAAAGATTTGAGTGGTATAAACATAAAAAGCAAAATTTAGGCGCCTTCAACACTTTAAAATTAGGGGTGCCTCTCTAATTTGAAACACAAAAAACATTTTATCAAGGTAAAATAGAATGAAAGAAAGAAGCTTCCTGTGGCCTGAAATTATTATAAAAGTTCGAGAACAGCATATCATACCCATGCCATCTTTCCTTCTCAAGAGAAATTTCCTTTGTAAAGCCCTAACACCAAGCACAACAGAAATTAGTTACGACAGTAAAGAAAGAGTTGAAGCACTATCATGAACAAATTAAAATGATAAAAGATGACCAAAAATACTGGTAAATCTATGTATGGTAGAGCTAGAGCAAAGAGCAATCAATATTTATGGATCAAGCTAAAGAGCAACAACTTAGTAAGTGGGATGGCTGGGTAGGAAACAATAGAAGGAAAATGCATCTTATGTTTTTTTTTCATTTTTTAAGGTTGTCGGGAGAGCAAGATACCCTACTCCATGAGGCTGCTAAAAGAACAAAGGGCGTTTTCATAAATACCACACAGTTTTTATTTATTTACATATCTAGCACCCAAGCTTTAATATTTACCTACATAGAACTCAAATCTTGAGTGTCATGTAAAAAATGTCACTATCACCTACTTTACACCTTTTCATGCATAGGTTTATCACACTACCATGTTATAAATGTAAATATAAAAGTATAGGTGTTAGGTATGCAAATAAATAAGAATTGTGTGGTATGTAATTTTTTCAAGAATCAAAAAGAACATAACAAGCCTACAGAACTGTAGATATCAAAAACTACATTGACCTCAAACTAAACAAAATTCAAGTTTTTATGCAAACCAATGCATTTATTAGAATATAATATTTATTAATGCATCACCAAATCAATCGCATCATGTCAGTGCAACTTAAGATGGTCAAGCTCATCTTTATCTAATGTCTGGGTAAAGGAATAGGAGTTAATAAGTAAACAGCAGACTGAAAAAATTGTGAAGCCATATGTAAAGACTTGGATTCATTGATGAAGAGAACTGTAATATCTGGAAAAAAAATAGATTGATTTTTGTGAAGCATCTTGAAAAACCATTCTCATTCCCTTCCAAGGAATTGACATAAAAAAATAGAGATTATCAGGCATTGATAAGATGGCCTTGATTGTCAAGAATTTCAAAGAAATAAAATTGCAGAAGCACAAAAGGGCATACTTAGGTCTATTAAGGAACCTAGTTTGGATAAAATAAAAGACTATTGAATCAGAATTCGCAGAGAAATTGAGCAATACACAATTAACATTTGATGCACGGCAGTTCATGGTTCAAAATATCTAATGCAACAATAATAATATAATGAAAGCCGATTATAAAAAAAAGATCCTCAAATAAAGAAGCTAAATACATAAAAAACACACTTCATTATAAGTTTGAGCCAGCTAATAATGCAACAAGAAATTAAATTTAAAGAAATCAACAGGAGACGTGAACTTCAGCAAACAATCAAATTTTTGTTCAGTTAGTGATATCTCGGTGTCATCAAATTTAGCCAAAAACAAAAACTCTAGCAAAGCCAATAACCAAATATTTTTAAAAATAGATCAAAGAAAGAGATAACAAAAGCACAATAAACTCTAGATCTACCATTCTTAAAAGTAAACAACTTTCCTCGATGATTGTTTATCGCACCTATAGGAATCTTATATAAAAAAGCACACAATATTTTAAGTGGATGCATAAATTTTATTAATTCAACCAACAACCAATACATGCCTTCCATATTGAAGTTATAATCATGCATTCCTAGGGTTGGCTTCCTCTTTATTCGTTCAGTTCACATCAAAACTTAAGTTGACTAAAGCAAGAAGAAATCCAATTAAAACTCGTGCTGACTAAAAGTTCATTTAAAGGTTACTTATTACTGATAGAATTCATAAAAGCTACCAAAAATTAAAAAAAATTTCACAGCCCAACATGAACACCCTCACTTCTGCAATCTTTCCAGTCTCCTTTCGCATGCTCTAGGGTAGGCCATTGACTATCAAGGGAAACTCAAAGTCTTCACTTATCCTACTCCTTGTTAGGCATTGTTAGACCGCCTCCCAACAAGCCATGCTCATCACTCTTGACTCGTTAACCACAACCGACTTTAGCAGACCAAAATTGCTAAGTTGAATCCCGCCAACACGCCTCTCCATCTTAAAGTAAATACTCCCCATATCATCATCGCAATCATTCTAACTCCCAAGCATAGTCGCCAAAACTTCATAACCACCCGGCCATCAAGCTCCGTAGAAAATAATTAAATTTTGATTAATTGAGTAACAAAGGAGAGAGTGTGAAAAAAAATTTAATCATTTTTTTTAAACATGATATATAAATTCAAGCAATCAAAGAGCCCTTAAAGTAATCTTGTAGAAAATAAAACTTCATTAGAGCTTACTAGTTTTGTTTAGGATATATTCAAGAAAATTATTTTATTTACACATGAAATAAAATTTTCAATTATCATAGGGTTCCAGTGGCGTGGGGGGAGGGGTGTAGAAGGATCTAGAATTAGTCATGGATGTTCATTACTTTCTTGCAAATTATTAACAATGTCACGACCCAACCCAGAACTTAGAATTAACCAAGAAAGGTACAGACGGTCGGACAGTGTGAATTAAATTTTTTATATTAATCTATAATTTAACAAATGAAAGAGTCATTAATCAAATTAAACTAAAACAATACAATTAAAATTACCTCGCTACAGGTTATTCGCATGTTCAATAAATATTTTCATCTTTTAATCACTTAAATTTTACTTAAAAAGTTAATTTAAAATAATAATGAGCTCAACAAACCAATGAATACTCATATTCCCAAGCTACAACAATACAAGAAAAAAAATAATATGTATGATAATTAAGTTTTTTTTTTATAAATCAATATAAACATTTAACAGGTTATTCAAATAGTCTATATTAATATCATATAAATATCATTGCATATTTATACAACCGTCACAGAAGTACCGTCTTAAAATGGTATCAATTAAGATGCATCAATATCAATACACTTTTTCATATATTTGCACTGGTACTTTAGTGTTCCCCCACTTTTAACATCAAGGGGTGACTACATCATAGTCAATCATGCACATACAAACATTTAATAAAAATATCACTTTTTAATAAAAAAATGTTTATTTCTCATTTCATAGCAGCCAAATCATTTAATAAAAATGAGCACACATATCATTTCTTCAATATGAACCAAAATTCACTAGAATTTAAAATCATGAGTTTGCACTCATTTATCAAATAACTAATGAAAGTATTAATTAATGCATTTGGTCTAGAAGAAACAAAATATCACCACAGTAGAAGAACATGAGTACTCACATCGTAAAAAGACAATCTGCTAGCTCTTGACGTCAATTCTAAAATAGAACGCCTAAACATGTAAAATTTTAATTAATTTATTATCTTAATAAACTGATAATTTTTCATTGATTAAGTATTAAATTTACTTTATCCAACCGCGCTTATATATATATTATATTATTATTATTATTATTATTATTATTATTATTATTATTATTATTTATTCAAATTTAGATTCATTATAGGTAATATTATTTTGGAGATCATATCCTAAACCTTTCTTGCTGCCACCACGCTCCCCTCAATCCAAAATTTGAACTTCTTTAACTAGAATCCTAATTTAATTAAAATTTATTATTATTAATTAAAAATAATATATTAAATTCATACACTTTATCATTTTAAGCCCTTACTTTCGGTCTCCCATAAGTTTTGGCCCGACCCGCATGAAATTTCTTCCCATCCTTCTCCTTCGGCTCAAACACCTCCTCTGCACACTAGATCTGAATCTAGAACTCGACATTGACTCCCTCCCGCACGAACTCAAAGAACCCGGCATTGGCTCCCTCCCGCACGAACTCGAACACCTCCTCTGCATACTAGATTTGAATCTAGAACTCGGCATTGGCTCCCTTCAGCACCTTATCTCCTGTCACCTCCTTTACAACGCAACTCGCTATTCTTCTCGCTGCTTCTCTTCTTCTTCCTACGCACGAGGACTCGGTTTCGACTCTCTCTTGCATGAAGCTCGATGATGTTGTGAGAGTGTGTCGATACGACACCTTCCTCTCCTCTCCTCGTCACTGAAGCATCCTCCTTCGCTCAACAGAGACAACGCCTCTGCCTTAATTTGCATCTGTTGTCTCTCGCACTCATTGTTCGACTCACCAGGTAAGTCGACTCGCCTCCACCATCCCCCTACGCATGTATTTATACACAGAAATATTCTTCGACTACCTGAACCTCTCACTTCACCTCTCCCTCTCTGCCTTCTAACTGTTTGTTTCCACTTGCAATTTTCATTCAGTTCATTTGGCTTGATTCCTCGTTTATCCTCTTGATGAACAGAATTGTTACAACCACTATGCATATAATCAGTTCATGCTCATTATGCATCAAGCTTATGCACTTTATTTTAAAGCAAATCAATTGATATTATTTTCAAAAATCTTTACAAAATGTCACCTAGTGGAAGCGATTAGCACATGAGCAAATTCATAAAACTTAAATCCTCTGAAAGAAGCAAAAAGAACAATGTCAACGACATTACCATCACCACCATTGTCACAACATTCACACAAAGCACCATTATCACCACCAGTATCACCCATAACACACCATGATACCGGAGTTTACCCAAATAACAATAGGACAAACATATATTCTCACCGAAACAGCCGGCCACAATCAACTCACTGGAAAGGGAAATTATAACAGCACGGCACTCGAAAATCTGAAATAGCAACAGATACAACACAAATAATCAAACTAAGGTGAGGTCTTAGGGTGGTGGTGGTGATCAACGGAGATTTGAAAAGATGGTGACAACGTGGAGGATGGACTGGATAATGGGGAAACAACAGCACAACAATGGTTGATTGTTGTCTTGGGCGGCAGCACTTAAGAAAGAGCGGAAACAACAAAAGAACAACAAAACAAGTGGAAGCACCTTGTTGTTTGGGTGGCAGCAGCATGGTAGGCGGGTGGACAGCAAGGAACAGAAGGTCAAACAGCGAAAATTTTCTGTTTGGGATGGCAGCAGCAAGGTAGTGGGGTTTGGGGCAATTATGAGGGTTGACAGCTGGTAAGAATGGTTTGGACAGTATGATAAAAACAATATCAAGTGGTAGGGATGGCTG